TCCCTCCTCTCTCTCTCTCTCTCTCTCCTCTCTCTCTCTCTCTCTCTCTCTCTCGCTTCTTCGATCAAAAAAAGATACTGAAGAGTTCGATCGTGATCCCCGATTTTTATCCATCACTTGCTGGTGAGGTAATGAAAAGAGCATACATATTGAACCCGCCGGATTCCGTGAAACTAGATTTAGCAATCTTATGAATATAGAAATTTTCATTACCTTCGGCAATTTAAATATGTTAAAAGCGAATCTACATGACACGATACAATTATTCTGTCAGTTTAGTATATTTTATGATAGTAATAAATTATGGTAAAAATGTTAAACGAAATACATACATCTGACAGCAATAAAAAAGTAATACTTGTCTCATATTTTTATATTGCGTTTAGATTACATGATATCACTTTAAAATGTAAATAGTAATATGCGAGGGAAATTTATTGTTCTATTTTATGTTGAGTTATTATTATAATGCAACAGCGGGGATAGTTTAGTCAATATGTTTTATGTCGTACAATTTGTTGGTTGGATTATCGTGCGTAAATTCTGTCGAGAATCAAAAAGAATGTCTTTGTCAGACAATAAGATTTTTCCGTGATGTATCTAAAGCTGCACATACTTTTTGTAAGTGTACTCTCGAAGCTATAAAATTCTAATGCAGTGCAGCAAGGCAACGTCATGGATTTTATATGAATGACCATGAAGATACTTGAGCTCGGAAGCAAATAGAGACCGAACCTCATATTTTGCAACATTTTGTTTTCTCACACAATTATCTTTCTTCCTTGGTGTCCTCATTTTACAAAATAAATTTACTCTCAAGAGAACAATGGCATTTTAAAATTTATCAAACAATTTATCATAAATGAATTATTCAATCAATTCATTAATGAAGCACAAACAATCGTGCACGTGGTATAATAATTCAGCTATTTTAAAAACACATTTTATATTAAATTTTAAGAAACGAGTAACTCGAGCACGAAGAAATTAGTACGGTGAAAACTACAATTAAAAGAAATAATTGCTTTGCAGACAACATATAAATTTAACATATAATGTTAATTGTGACGTTATAGGTCTTGTGTGATGTAATATTATTAACGATAACGTGCTTTGCGAGAAGCTCTCTTCCGTGTAGGCGATTCGATGCATCTCACGACCGGAAGAGCGTGGGAGTGCAAGAGTGCATTGGTCGGCGAAGCGACGTCTTACGCATCGGTCGAACAGTTTACTAAGATGCAATGTCAGTGACTCTATTTACTGCAGTTTAAAAGAGCGATTAATTGCTCAGTTCGCTGTGCGGAAAGATTATCGCTCAGAGACGTGATTCTACCCACTTAATATCTATATTAATCTAAAATAATAACGCTCGCATATTCCGTTAAATGCTTGAAATTATGTTAGATACAAACGTGTAATATTTCCTTCTAAACGAAAATGACGAGAAAATGATTGTGAATTCTGTTTCAAAAAAAAAAAAACAATGTCAATTTAGTAACAAATAGCAAAATTAAATTATCTTTTTCTGATTTTTCTTCGCAATTACTTTTTTTATTTTGCGACACTATTTAACTCATGATAATCGCTTCTAAATAAATCTAAAAAATTGTTAAGAAATTAATATAAAATGTAGAATAAAATATACATATGCATATTAAAGCGCTCTCTTTGACTAGAATTTAATTACAAATTTAGATCAAATAATTATGAGCAATGAATTCTTTGACAGCATCAATTTTTTTATATCTGTATTAATTTTTTTCAGTCTTTTAAACAATACAAAACTAATAATCGACATACATAATTTTTCAAACAAGCAAAGAAAAAAGATAATATACATTAAAATGGTTGTGTGATTTTTGAAGATACTGACTACTTGGAGTGAAGGAAACGTGAGAGATCAAAAGTGCATTTCACATAGCCGCAGAGTATCGCGTCGTTTTCGGGTGACGAAGCAAAGGCACGGTTAAGCTTAAAATTCAGTCAGCCGATGATGTTATCTTTAGTTTACCGCGCGGTTAGGTGCTTGCACAGCTTTAAGCGACTAAGCGGGAGATTGGCTAAATAGGGGAATAAACAGGCCAAAGAAGGCGTCTGGGTAACCGCGAGATCAAAATCGGATGGTTTATACGTCTATACACGAAAGAGAGATCACGCGACGGAAAACGGCGTTACGGAAAACGGAAAATCCACTTAAGACCCATCGCGTCTTAGTGCCCCACTGTCTGCAGATCCGAAGAAGTACAATGGAGAGAACAATGTTTCTCTCTCTCTCTCTCTTTCTCTCTCCCTCTCTCTTTCTCGTTGCCGCGAACGTGCCCCAACGCGATGCAGCCATCTTCGCGTCTTAAGAGGCTCATTCGAATGCGCGGTCATACGCATGTCGTGTCGTGCGGTTCGTGCATATCGTCTAGACCGAATTACGAGCTGCAAAGCACATCCTCACCCGGGATTATTTGATGAAAAAGCGCTCGGGTTTATTCTCACGACTTCCCGCCGATTCAGCGGAGCGATAAATGCAAACGATCTTTCTCTCAACTCGATGACTTGAATTCATGACCAAGCTCACGTACTCCGATGCGAGGAGTCGCTTTAACTTCGAAAGTTATTTTTTTTTATTGAACTCGTTTACGACGTTTGTTTGAAATTTCTTGAAAATTTCGAAATTTCGTTACTTTTATTTTTATTTTTATTTCCTCGAGGAAAAAGTGCAATTGACATAAAATAGTAATAAAGGAGTAATTCTTTTCTAAAAAAAAATGTTTTTTTGAAATGTCAAATATAGACTGATTTAGCATCCTTTGTAAAAATAAATCAAAAGCCGACTCACCACTCTGCCTTCGCCGACGCTGCTCCTCGTTGTTCCATCGGGCGTCGTTGCAGACATAATTCCTGGCACTGTGTCCACGACGAGAGATTATCAAGGAGTCCTTGGGGACAGGGGGCAAAGGTCTGTTCGCGTCGTATTCCTGCTCCGAGCAACTGCCATCCGAGCGGCATCTCGAGGACGGATCTGCGTTACGAGTGACGTAGGAAACGTTCTGAATTCCGTCGTGTCGATCTTGATGCAAAAACACCGAGTCGGTATCCGACGCGCTGTCCTCGCTTTTGTGTCGCCTGGTGGGCGGTTCGGGTGCCGTGCCATGCTTGGTCGGCCAGCTGCCTGTCGCTAAATCCGGCCCGGCGTTCGGTTGATTGGAGAAGCTCACCCTCTTGGGGCCTGTACTTCCGTACTCCACCGAGTCTCCCCCTACCAAGCTTCCTCTCTTAAATATAGGATGCGGCCGAGGTCTGACCTCGCCGTCGTTGCCGTCTTCCTCGTGAACTCCGCCGACTTCCGACTTTCTTGTCGGTGAAGTCGCGCCGTTTCTCCTATCCTGAACTGGTTTTCTGCAGGTCACGTGGAAACTGGTACGCTCAATTTCTCCTCTGTGGAAATGCGGGGAGGCGCTCTTCGATCTTTGCGAGTCGCATCCCGTAGGATCGCGCGGGCTTATGGGCTTTATCGACATTTCTTGACGATCCCGCAGGGCCTGCTGCGGCCGGACTATCAATACCGGTTGATTCTGACCCTTTTGAGGTTGCATCAACGGCGGCTTTCCAGTCGGGCTTATCTTGGGACGTTGCTGCTGCACGTTGCCCCAATAAGATCCGTCCCCGTGAATGACAGAGCCAAACGCCGTAGAACTGAACGCTTGAATCGGTAACGTGGTCGACATCATAGGACTTCCGATCTTCTGGTACGTTTCATACAGCCCGTCCTCCATTAGGTTTTGCTCGTAAATTCGTCGTTGCAGCTCCGCATCCAGTTTCTTCAAGTGCTGCCAGTACACCGCCTCTCTCATTTCCGGCAGATCGATCCTCGGCGCGATCTGTCTTGGACCGGCATTCGCAGACGAGATGGCCGATTTCCGGTGCGCCTCCAGAGCCTTTTGTTGCCAATAAAATGCTTCCAAATGTTGCCTGGTCTCTTGTTTCGAGGGCGACAATAGACCGCAAGGCGGATGACTTTGCTGACCACACGTCGCGTCGGCGACTCGTGGAACGTACGCCTCTTGGCCTTGTCGCGGTTGTTGCTGCGGTTGATGTAGTTGTTGCTGCGGTTGCTGTCGTTGACGTTGCGCGTAAATCGGCTCGCGCTGAAGCGAACTCGCGCTTACGTACATCTTGTCCTGGTTCGCAATCAGCGACGACTGCTGACCTTCCGTTGTAAACGAAGTTCGTTGTTGCTGAGCGGCGTCGTGTCGTCGTTGTTGATGGATATCTTGAGCCACGTTCGACGGTTCTCGTATCGGGGATCGTGCTACTCTTCTCTCTGGTTCATTAAACAATTGTTTAGTCTCCGTGACGCACGACTGCGGACTCTGCGACGTCGAATTCCGAGTTCGAGCTATTCTCCCGTCGATGTCGCAACCTGATTCATTCGGACTGTATGGACCGCGTGGCGACAACTGTTCGTTCTCGCATCCCTGCTTTATCTCCGAAGCTATCGTGTTGTTACGAGACGAACTCGGCTGTCCGCGATGTCCGTAAATTGGTTCGGGACGCGAGATGCCTTTCGGAAAACCGCAGGACAATGCAGTTCTTTGTTTGGATCTCCCCGTTCCTGTGATGGGAGAATTCTGGCTGCCATACTGATCTCGCACTTCGATTGGAACGATGCCAGAAATACCCTCGCGCGAATCAACTATGGGAACGGGTGATTCCGTGTCGCAGAACCTGGCCTCGTTCGATGGTCGAGGAACTCGAGATTGGCAGATGGTCTCTCGCTTGGGCGAAGCTATCAGGATTTGATCATCGGGCTGCGACCTCCTGGCTCGAGATCCCGTCGATGGAGATGTCGCTATTGTCATGCCAGTTTTCGACGGTGATACACTCTGAATGGACGTTCTTTCGACTTGATTGCACGAATCGTTCTTCATATTTGTATTAGCATTCTCGTAATTTTTCAAACAATCATCCCGCAATTTCTCGGTCTCTCGCCTCGACTCTGTTCGTGCACCTTCATTATCTTCGCAACATTGGAAGGAACAATTTTTTGAAGGCGATTGCTGACTCGGTAAACATTTCTGTTGAAAAACTAGATCGTCTTCTTTCTTTTCCAAATTTTCTGCTATATGATTCGTTGCTTCCGTACTCGGAAAATGTTCCTCGCGACACGACGGAGTTTCATCATAAACGTGTTCTTGAATATAGTTATCAGACGGTTGAGAAGGTACCTGACCTTCATTCTCGTAAACCCTTTCACGCGCATCTTCGAAGACCTGCCTGTCGATAGGCGAAGTTCGAGTGCTGCTACGAGGCGAGTTTAAATAGTACTCGCCACTCTTCGAGCTGGTGGGCGAGAATTCGCTCTTTTGACTCGAGTTAGGCGTGCAACTCGAATCGCCGGACTTCTGACTGGAACCGGACGACGGATACTTCGAACTTCTCCCGATCAATGGCGCCCTCTGGCTTTGATTTACAATCGGTTGTCGAGTGATTTTAACTTGCGCGGGAACCGATTGCGGTGGGTTGTGGATCAGACCCGACTCGAGATTCCTATCGTTCTGATAAAGCTCGGATTGATTCCGATAATTCACGTTATCGGCAACATCCAAACCGCTGAGATTGTCGCACATCTGATCAATCCCGTCCTGGTAATTCTCGTAATTCGACAGCTCGATTCGCGACTGCGGGATCTCGGGCAGCGGCCTGTCGACGGGATGAATAGCTCGCGACCGTGTGAAATATCGCTCGCTAGGCGGCGCCGAGATTCGACCGGAAGCAGCATGATTCTTCTGGAAGAGACCACGTCCGCTGTGATTCGGTTCTTGCAGACTGTGTTTACGCTCCAGATGACCGTATCGCTGGCTGTCTTGCTCTTCGCGTCTCTGTCTTTGCTCGTACTTCCTAATGTCAGGCGAGATGCCGAACTGTCCGCTTCGCTCCAGCCATCTTTCGTCCGGCGCAATCGAGCTGAGACTGGAGTTGGCGGTATATGACCTTTGATTCCTGGTTCTGTCGCGAAGAAGCCGTGTATCATCCGTCTGCAAGAAATGATCGGGCGTACTGGTGATCGGCCCCTGCTCGGGAAACAATTCGCGCTTAATCTCGTCCAATCTCTCCTCGATGATGGAGCCGTTTAAACTGTTGTCCAGCTTGACGTTTCTCTTGATATCCTCGTTCAGGTTCATCGTGTCCGGCGATCTCGTGTAGTTTCCATTTTGCTGATAACGAGCGAAGTGCCGCTCGTCGTATTTCCTTCGCTCTTTCTGCTCCTTCTTCTTATAATCTTTTCGAGAATCCTTCGGAGAGAATATAGCTGGCAAGAGACGGCGAAAGCCGAGCTTCTTCTTCTGCTTCTCCTCCTTCTTCACCTTGGACGATCCCGCCTCCATCGCAAATTCTTTTATAAGATTTGCGTAACCGTCCACGCCGCGATGACTTCGAACAACAAAAGTCGTCGGATCGATAGATTCCTTCGAATTAACTATCGTAAAAGAATCGAAAGTTTTATCATTCCTCCTTTCAGTTGAAAGATTCTTTCTATTAGTAAGAAGTATCTCACTTCTTGCTTCTTCGATATTCTTTTTACGGTTAGTAGCCACTTCGCGCGAATTCGGATCGCCAGTTGCGTTGCTTTCGATATTTTCTTCCCTCGAACTTAGATCTCCGTGAACTATCGCCGTCGTCGTGAGAATTATGTCGGCTCTCTCTACTTTTTCACTCCACCGAACGCAATCTCCGTCCTTTTCGTCGCGATAAACTTGATCGGATCCGTCAATATCGTCATTATCATCCGTCTGTATTTCGTTCGTCACCTGGGCGATGTCCTCGTCGACTGCCTTGATTCTATCCTCGAGACACGAGTCGGAATCGACAGTGCTCACCGTACTATTCTCAAGAATCTCCTCCGAAGTTTGTCTCTTCGATTCATCGATCGATGCTTGCCTCTCCGTGAACTTCGCTTCCGGATGCTTCCGGTCAAAGAGCACCCGGGCGTCGCGATCCTCGACGATACTCTCGCGCGAAGACACGCTGCCGAATTCTTCGATGTAAGACGACTTGGAAGATTCCGAGGAGTTCCGTTGTAAGCGATTATCCAGAAATTCCCCGGACCACCTCTTCTCCACTTCCGTCACCTTCTCGCTGTACTTTCGCTTGACGTCGATCCTCCTGGATGGTCGCTCATCAGTCTCGCTGGCTCTCTCGTTTTCGGACGTGTAATCGAGATCGGTTTCCAACACTCTCCTCTCCTCAATTTTCAACCGTCTATCCAGGTTATGCCTCTCGAGAAAATCCTTGTCGAATCCGGAACTTAATCTCTCACTGCAATTCGACTCCGCGGCAGCCGGCTTTAAAGCATAATTCGCCTGAAGACCCAATAGTTTCTCCTTGTAGCTTTGCGCGGTGCTGGCATGAATCTTGGTGCTCAGATTCTTTTGAAGATCCTCGATAGTCGCCTGACTTTTCTCCAGGCGATCCTGCACGTCTCTGTCAAGTCCCGCGTTTCCTCCGCGACTCTCAACATCGTCGTCTTGCTTCTCGATCTCGTCCGATTCACGTTTGCGGTTTACCTTTGAGATAGATTCAAATGTCTCACTGCGTCTCTCAATTTCGGCGGAGCTTATATCGCCTTTCTTATCGTCCGTAGTATTTTCCGTCTCGAAAACGACTTCTTGTTCAGTTTGCGCTTGCTTAACCTCAGCCGCTATCCTGTCAACAACTTTTTCCTCCTTCGACGATAAATCTTCCGAGGATTCTATTTTCGTGGAAGAGTTCAAAGCCGCTACCAACGATGAATTATGCTTGTTATTAGTTAGAGATTTTTCCGGTATCTTCGGAGGCACCGTGCTTTTCTTCACGATCGCATTCGCCGTATTCGAACCTTCGGTAACAGCGCTACCGACAGATGGGCTTTTAACAAATTTAATTGGTTTGATCCTGTTTTCTTCGCGTGAAATATTTGTCACGCCGTTGTTCTTCCGACTCTTCGGAACGGGAAGCTTCGACTGGCTGGCCGACGCGATATTTTTCGATTTTGTAAACGCGTCTTCCGGTATCGATACCCGAAATCTATCGTTACACGTTGATTTTTGCCGCTCGTCTTTCACACATTTGACAACGTTCGATTTCGTCTCCGAACTCAGAGACAATTTTCTCGAAGTCTCGTTCTTCGTCAGCAATACTTCTCGCGATCCGTTCGAAGACTCGAGGACAATTTTTTCGACAGTAACTTTATCGACCGACAGAACCCGCACGTTTTCTGCATTCGCTTCCTTCCCGTCACTCTTAAACGAATCCCGATTATGCTGCACATCCGTTTCCGAGATATCGCTATCGAAGACTCCCTCCTTCGATTCCATGCTGGTTTGTTGTACAACGCTCGCCTTCTAAGGACGCCTGAAAGAGTTTCATTGTGATCTTCGCGACGCATCCGAGAGAGGTATACATTTTAATAAAAAAAATAATCGAAACGATTCGAGAAAATAATAAAACGAAAACTATTAAATAATCGGGAACACAAACGCGAAATAAAACCATACAAAACTTTCATTTCTTTGTAAGATAAAAATTAAAATAAAATCTATAGAGACATATACAGAGCAGAATAAATATCGAAATGATCTCAGCAACAAATAATAATCACCATGACGTTTTCGCTACTCGAGAAAATCGAGTTTAGATTGATCGGAAAATCATCCGTTATGAGTGTACCGAGTGGAAGTGGGGCATCCTGTTTAACGTTATTCTCTAATAATCGATACACAGTTCGCCAGGATAGGCGGAGACACGTGTCGAGAGGGTACAAGGGGATTAACTCGGGAGATAACTGAATAAGTGTCTGCGTGGTCGTTCGGAATCTTCCCATTAGTCCATCGTGACTGCCGCGTCGACGTTTAACCTGGTCAAGTACGTGGTGGCACATAAGCCATGTGCGCACCAGCCGCTCGTGTGTACGATCGCGGGCACGTGTCAACGTTCCCTGGATCGTGCGAGCATGCCAGCGAACCCCCCGGTGTAGTCTAAATACATGCATATTCTAAACATCGAAGCGGAAAATCCTCCTCCGTAGTCCGTAGCCTTCGTTCGCGCGACGCGGCGTCGCAAAGTGCAACGACCGTGACGAATTTGTTCGGGAACTTACAAAGCGTCTAAAACGAGAATCTACAGCCGCTCTACGGCTTCGAATCCCTTTTCCCCGGTGATACCGTTACGCTCACTTCCGCCCGTATTTCCCCTCGGAGTGACGTAAGCGTCAAGGATATACGCGCCGAAAGGGAAAGAAATAGAAATACGTTATTCATGTTCGTGGGGCATAAGCCACCCAAAGACATCATTATATATGTATAATTCGAGTGTGTGTATCAAGGCAAGTTATTTTATGAGTATAACATATTGTTAAGTTCGGGGGATAGGGAAAGAAATCCTAAGGATAATAAAAAGAAGATAAATTTCTTATAAAAGAAATAACGACGGGAATAAATGGATAGAAGGAAAATGCTAAAACCTCCTCTTATTTGTTAGAGAGATAAACATATGTAAAAAAAAAGTTACGTAAAAAGATCCATTTCGTTTCGAGAGGGAATTATATTTGTGGGCTGGTTTTATTGGCGCAAGGGATATTCAGATCGAAAATGAAAGATCGACAGAGATACGCATTGAATCTTTTTACTTTATTTCGCGATTGTAGTAACTACAATCGATTGCGCAGTCTGCCATGTGCCATATTCATTTAATAGCGCGTTAACCCAGAAACTATGGCAATATCCAAAATGAACTACTTTTTACCGCGGGTTCTCATTACACTCTCTCTCGTTCTCCGCAAAAAAAAAAGGGGAGCCATTTCGCTATTAGTCCGGCATCAATAAGTTCAGTATCGCATAAATTGGCAAACGCGATTTCTCGCGCCATTCGCGGATCGTCAATCGCACGTATTTGAACTCTCGTATTGACCCAAAGGTCCATTAGCTGCTCGCGATGGTCACGGAATTAATAAAACGTAATATTCATTCTGCTCCAATAATTCGCTCTCCTTCGCACGTTTTTTATGTTTCCCGTTTTTAAAATAGAACCTGACGCTCCGAGGGGAGAAGACGGAGAAGGAAGAGAGGGACGAGAAGCTCGACTAAAGAAAAAAAGCCACACGGCGTACCTTCAGGTGCCTTCCGATTCCGATGCAACGCGCAACAATCCGTTCACCAACACGTTCCGGTCCGAGGAGGTTACGCGCGAATAAGATTTAACATTGTTAATCGCACAACAACGTGTTACACCGACATTTCCCGGAAGGTGTTTACAATCGACTGGCCAGAATTTGCATTATTTATTCATTACTCGCAAACGCGAATTGCGAGTGACGCGAGTGGACGGCGAGACACGGGAAAGAGCGAGGAGGAAACGAAAAGAAACGCAATATTCATCGGTGAAACCAATACACTGGTGTTAAATTACTTGGTACGGCTATGTCGCAAAATATCTGCTTGCTATCGCGGCCGATTACGTAAATAATTCGCTAGCGTGGCACGGCATTTGCACAATTATGCAATTGCAATTGCAAGAATACTCGCATGATGGCCAAGTTCCTCTTACCTAGCGCAACTACACGATATATTTCATTTAAAATAATAATGCATTGTGTATATTTTTTGTAATAAAAACAATAGACAAATTATATAAATTATGCAAAAGCAATGTGATACGTGCGTGGAGTATGTTATGCGTTAATAATAAAATAATAATAATACTGCGATAAGTTATAACATATTTTTATAATATAAACATTTTTACGATTTCACAGTATATTTTATATACCATATTTATTCATTCTGTTTTTTACAATTGCATCATCATTTCAATATTTTTTAAATTCATTGCTGTTTTCTCATGATTAAAATAATAACAGAGAAATAGAAATAGTTCGAGAGAAAGAGTTCAAGGAACTCTTCAGAGCGTTCGCAATTACATCTAATTCTTTTTTAAGACTTAATTTATATTTACCGGCAATTACCTTCGCGGAGTAATAACTATATGATGAATGCAAAACGATAGATAACGACGGCAAGTAATATATATATATATGCGAGAATAACGCGGTAATAATGCGGAAACGCCATCATCCTTTATCCACGTTTCATGATCATCAGGGAACTTGAATGGCGAGCTTGGCGAGACGTGACAAGTCGACCGCGGTCGAGACACAGAAATAAACGGAAACGAAGAACAAAGACCGTAATTGACAATCGCGCTTTGTTCGGCCGGCGCACCGCCACTCTTGCTTAATTATCGCGGTATGCGTTATCTCATTATCGTCATTAGATAGTGACCCAAGTGAGTGAATCGGAAGTGATCCTTTGGAGTTTGTCAATTCACGAAGTGCGGATTCAACACATATCTATATCCGAGGATCGCTTTACAAATGAAACACTCATGTCTAAATTTTAATAAATTCTTTTGATGTGCAAAAACGAGTTCGATAGAAGAATTTTCCGCTATGTCCGGCGGATTTGAGATATTAAATATTTTTCGCGAAAATATTTGTGTTTATGTGTGTATTCTATCAAATGAAGAAGGAGAAGATCTTCGGAAATTGGTTCCTTTGTTCTGAATTTTGAAAAGAAATTTTATTATCTTAAAGCTTTTTACACTTTTTAATAAAATTGATGGAATGCTTTGTAAAAAAAAAATATATATATATAAAACTTGATCCTATATCTTAGTAAATCAAAAGCTTCATCTTCTAAAGCGTTTGAAAGTTTCAAATCAATCTTGTGGTTTCGAATCCAGGAGCAGATTTCATTATTAGATACTCACTTTGCGAAGATATGCAGCGTAATACGATAGCGATTCCCTTTTCTCGTATTAGATTAAATCGGTGAAACGATGGATAATGCAAAGGTCATAAGTTAGTTTGCACGTGTCTGAAGCACGATCCGGTCTCTCGAAAAAATCGGGAACTCGCAGCTTGCGTACGATAGCGGAATGCACTAAGAGATTGCGTCTAACGTGCGAATATTAGAAAGAGAAAAGAACAATTGTTAGATTCAAAGAAAGATAGCACTTGACTTCTCTACATTTCTTTATCGTTAAAAAACACAAATTATCTTGAGGCACCGTGTGTTAAATTGCCGATTAATTTAATACACATAATAATAAATAATATATTAAAGATATATTTAACATACATGATAATAAAACGTATATTAAAAATATATTTAACGTATATATAATTGCAATATTTACACGGAAAAATTTTTAGTAACAAAACCCAAAACCTTATTTCGAATAATAAAAAATCGTTACACAATTGCCTCGATGAAAAAAAATATTTTTGAAGTACAAAAGCATACCGATTGTTGTCTATGCTAAGAATTTTCTATGCCAGCCTATTCACAAATCGGGTATTGTCCGTCCGTAACTGTATTTACAAAAAAATCATAACGTTCCAGTCGTATTTGGAACGAATGTACAAAACGCGGTTATCTGATAGCGCGCGACGAACGCGTGATTTCATCGCAGATGTATGCCGACGTGTTTTAAACAAACAAATCGAGATGCGCACATATGTCGGCGTTTCCAGTCTAATTATGAATTAATTGTTCGTTCGTGTAAATATCCAGCGGAGGCGCGTATAAAATATATCGGTGCCAGCGACGTACAGTTTTCGATTGTAAAAAGACGCGTCGTAAACCGGTTCGCCTCTTTCCGCGCTAAATGCATCCCGATAGCAAACTGCAGCGTGCATTTGCTACGTGACGTTTAATAATTTCCCAGTACGAAAGAGCTTGGCGAGAATTTTATTTCTTTCCTTTTTTTTTTATTTCCTTCTCCTCTTCTTCTGCTGCTCAAGACAGATATATCGCGCGTCTCGATTTTGCATGGAGATAATACGTAACGAGCGCAAGTATGCAATGTGCTTGTATAATAACGTAAAGAGGTGGTCGCCTGAAGATAACCGTCGAGGGCATGTCGGTTCCTTTGAACGAACGGACAACCTCGAAGTTTTCTGCGACGATAAGTTCAACTACGTCGCGTGATTCTATGAATATGAATTATATTCTACAAACATGTATGCGCGCAATAAAGACAATATTATACAGTCGCGGTAAGATTTTCAGAATTGGCAATTACTACTAAAAATCAAGATAAGTTGAATAAATCTTAATTTTAATTTAGTCTAGCTAATCAGTGAGAAATGATAAGGCAGCCAATTAACGCGAGGCTTCGTGATTGTCAAGTAACATAATCGCTATTTTAAAAGTTCAACAATGTATAATGACATCATCAGCGCCAGACAATTATTAAGATTAGATTTCTATGTACAATTTTATATAGTTTTCTCTACTATAAAATTAAATTTCTTACAAATAAAAAATAAAGCGATGACAACAATTAATTTATATATGAAAAAAGCAAAACGAGTTTAAAAATCGAGTTTATATTGTATATTAGCGAATGTTACGTTGTAATTTGACGACTAAATCGACTTAGATGGAAGAAATGAGATTGGTCACGTGAGTGCCCTCGTTTCGATGGCATTGTGGATATAAAGCTGTCAATGTGAATGTTTAACGGATTAACGAGCACCGCTCAATTCTCACTAATATGATAATGAACGATGCTCACTATCGTCGTGTACGGTGTCGTTGTGCACATTCGCGGCATCATTCGCGATCACATCGATCATTCCTAAATTTAATCGTCACCATCACGATGCCGTCACGCCGGTCTGCGATCTCGCCTTGGCATTAATTACCCGACAGATATGCGATAATCTTCGGAACGCTTGTCAACGCTTTCGTTTTCATTCTCGATTATTTTCACCGTCGTGTCCCGCCTTTCGCGAGATCGATGACGTCGAATCGTTACACCTGGTTACGAATGCACGGGACAGGAGCGAGATAAGAGTAGACACGATTTACACACGGAAACGTGATTTACAAGCTGCAAAACATGCAAACTTGGGCTCCTCGTCTGCTTGCGACCTGACTGCTGTTTGTTGTTAGCAGCTAGTCGCACGTACATCGAAGACAGGAACATCGCGAAAAACGTCACAGCGGGAGGATTTCGAAAAAGCGAAAGTAACGATATTTGCACGTTTGTGTCGCACCTTTCAGGATTTATTCGGGAATCAAATAGGCGATACAACACAAAATGCGAAACGGAGAATCGGAATAAAAGATGAAACGGAAGTCTCGTCTGACTTTCGCGTCACGAAAGAATATGGACGCTACGATTTTTGTAAAGTCGTAAATTTTTATTAGAAGAAATACGCTACCGAGTTGCTTACATGTGTTTCGAGACGAATTTACTGAACGAGAAACCGTATTCTTGATGCACGGATTAACGTTATCGCAAACGTGGAGGAAAGGGAGAAGTTTTTATCGTTGTCACACCTCGGACACTGTCACCGTCACCGTCGCATTGTTAACGAATTTTAATCGTTAACGAACGCGATACTTGGTATTTTCTTCTCGCACACAAAATAAAGAAGTATTTCGAACGAAGCGAAAATCCGCGCGCGGATAAAAACGTTCAAATAAAACTCCGAAACAAGCGCTGGCCCTGGGAAAGGTGATAAGGCGGGGTGCGGTTAACGAGAAAAGGAAAACTAAACGAGAGATTAAAGAGAAGGTGGAGGTTGAACGGATAGGGAAAGGAGACAGAGAGAGAGAAAGAGAAAGGAAGAAGGAGAGGAGGGAGTGAGATGGACGAGGCGCCGGCAACGATGTCTCTGTACTGACTGACGAGTTGTTCGTATAATGTACGTAGAGTATGAGAAAGAGAGAATTGCTGGGGGGGGACCAGGAACGTGCGAGAAAGAGCGAGACGAGAGTAGGGAATAATGAGGAGAGAGAGAGAGAATGGACGAGAGAACTGGCCATAAACTGGCGAGAGCAGAGAAACGGAGCCTTCGACGAAGACTCGATTGTGAGCGAGTTGCGTGTTAACGCTGATAACACGCAAGTTACAGGTACATATGTATTTATCAATGACACATCAACATATCGGCGACAGATTGCAGTGATTCTCAGTCATTGATAGCCATTCTCAATTTTTTATCACAGCCAATGGTAATTTTAAAGCGAAATGATTATTTTTGTGCGATTAAGTTCTTAATCAAATGTTTGTGAATTTCTTGATTATATTCCAAAAATAAGATCTGTTATTTATTTTACAAAAAATGTTTTCGATATTTTATAACCAACTTATGATGATTTGTAAGACAACCCAGATAAATGAAACTATCTAATTATTTGTCCGATTATTTGAGGCCAATTGTCTGTATTATTATCAGAACAATGATAACGAGAGATTTATGAGAAGCAAATCAATAAATGAATTTTTTTCATAACAACATTCTTTTATAAATTTTATAAATCGTGCTTTATTATTGTGCTATTATTGTATATACATTGTTGAATACGTAATTGTGTATCGTTACTAGTATTTGCTGAATTTCAAAATTACATATATATCTGGAATTGTAAGGCAAGAACAGGTATCGCCTGTATAATCCAACACTTGTGCCAGTGAAAAATTCCTATTAAGCTGAACAAGCAAGTGGAATTTTAATTAAAGCACCTTGCGTGTGAACTGAGAATTATCGCGTAGGTAGTTATCGCCAGGTCGTATTATCACGATTCTATAGAGCAACGTGATTTATTTCTGATTTATGGATGACTATTCTCTACAACCACAGTTATATTCTCATCTTTTGAAAATTATAATTTCAAAAGATGAAAGAAAAGTCAGTTTCAGAAAACATTAATTGGTATTTACTTTTTAAAAAATTATTTTGTATTTGTCTTTATGATTTAAGAAACCCGAATAACAAATATAACTAAACTAGTATTAGAAACTGTAAAAGTAACGATAAATCCGCATATTCTGTCGTGCTGTTGTGTAGGAAAGCGTTTCACGTCTATCGCACCCTTTATCGCAAAGCAAACAGAAATGGTCGCGAAACAACTTGCGTTTCGCAAATACATAGGATAGCGTACTTGATCCGCAATGCGAGGGAGAGACTCGAGAGACTTGAGTTTCCTGCGAGATGAAGATGGCCTTTCGATCTTCCTTCTCCTTCGATCGTGAGATGAATTTCTTTTTTGCTTCAACTTCAATCAATTCGATCGAAGAGCGTTCACTCTAGTCTTCCGTTTCAACTGTCGCGTTCCCAGATTTTCGTTTCTCCCGTCCGTTATCTCCACAATAATCCTTAAACTCATCTCAAAATATTTATTTTGTTCTCTTATTTTATCCACTCGTTTTTTTTTCTTTTCGATTGAACAAAAAGTCGGCCATGCGATCGATGATTTATCGATGGAAACGTACGGTGCATTCGAGTTGCAAGGTAAACGACTGCTTGCGCAAGAAACGTCGAGTATGCAGTCGAGTTTCGATACCGGAACGCCGGCGTGTTACTTTAACCATACGAAAAAAATTCAATAGCGAAACACTGAGGTCACAAAAATTTGAATAATGCATAATGCTATTGTCCAAATACTTATATAAGTCAGCGTATAATAAATATCCCGCCACGATATCCATACGCTACATTGTTCCACATTACTACAACATAAAAATCCATTGACTAATATGCATTTTATCTTGTCATTAAATAAAATAAATTTAACATTATTCTAATTAATTTTAAAAACAAATTCTGTAGATCTGAATCTGATTCAAACTATTTTCGTTATCAAAAGATGAAGTAAAGTAATATTTTATCTTTCTATTTTAAATATTTTTTAAAATCATTTTATATATTTTTTTATATAACATTTTAATTAAGAAGATTACATATACATATATATAAAATGAGTTTAATTTTTTCCATCCGGCTTTATCTATGTCAAACATGCATAGAACTAATATTTAAGATAGAAACTAATATTTATTTTTATTTTCTTATTATTCAATAAAATTGCATCTTGCTCCTTTCTTTATAATATTTATTACATTGTAAGATATATGAATGAATAGGATGTATAATTATATATAAATGTCCGCATGTGTTTAGCACGAATTTATAGTCCTACTGTGCCTAAAATGATTGTGCGAATCATTTTTATGGGATTTCTCTACAATTTGATTGTGCCGGTGACACAGTTCTTCAGCGTCAGGAAACATCAAGTACTTGTACTGTCGATAAACGACGAGATTGTATAATAGAAGAGAGGAAATAGTCGATAAGGTAGACATTAAAGCAGTAGAATGTCATGAGATTGTATCATTTTATGAAAACTTAATTATGCACGATTTCTGATTAATGTATCTAAAAACATATTTATCCAAATTTTCTGGCAAAAATATGACAAATTTTCCTAATCAGTTTTTAAGCGTAATGATTATACTGAGACAAAAATTTTTAATATTCTAACACTCAATTTAAAACTATATGATTACATGTTTTGAGAGTCCAATAAAATTATTTTTATCTATAATTAATAAAATATTTAGATATTATTTAGAATTTTTTGTAATTAATGAGTTTTCATGAAATGGTGAGGTAAATTATTTTATCGTAATTTACAATTTTACATTTTACATTAAAAATTTCATCGCATCAAGAATTTTATTTTATTTGTATAAAGAAATAATAAATAATAATATTCAAATAAAAGATATAACATCGTAACAAGTTAGATATTACATATTGAAGGGTTAATTGTTCGAATTTTGCTTGTGACAAATAAAACAAATGTTGCATAAACAATATCAAAATTTGTGAATATTTCATGATAAACCAAATAATAATAATAATATGTATAAAAACAAATATAAAGTATAAAAACAAAACTATGATAATTACAACATTACAATAGATTGTAGCTCTCATATCGTGTGTAGTTCAACAACGATACGTGCTTAATCAATATAATATGCGATTACATTATCGGCCATTCTGTAATCTAATGACTAATTCAAACAAATGAAAACGATAAACAATAAACGCTTTTGTTTTTTGCTATTTATTATCTCATAATGCACTATAAAATCGTTTCATTATTTCACCAAATTTAATTAATCACTTAAAAGCATCATTTAAAAGTATGATAATAATTATTAATACAATAATTTTAATAAACAGAAATTACTCTTGACTTTTTCTTCATTGAATTTTGCGGATTTCACATACGGATAGATATATATTTAATTATAAAAATTGCAAAATATATATGAAAATGAAATACATACTATATATTTATAATAATAGTCTGAGTATTTACTCGTTCCGTGATGTTAATCACAATGTTAATCATCGAATTATTGAATCAACGTTTTCTTATTCGCGACGTACACAATCAAATTTTCGATTTTTTTTCTGAATGAAGGAGATCCATTGCTTAAGGCAACAATTTGAAGCGGGATACTCGTCTAGACGAACATCTCATTAATATTTATGAGTTCAAAATGCGTAATTATACCAAGAAAGAAGCACCGTTGCATAATGTACATGTGTAAAATGCACGCAATCTCTTATCCTTTCGTGTCCTTTCTCTTTCTCTCTTTCTCACATTTACAGTATCAAATGTTGCACACACGTATGTAACACTATGAAAAATTTTTGGAATGGTGAGATTTTATTTACGAGATTTTTATCAATTGTACTTTATGAATACGAAAAACGTAACAAAAAGACGATTTCTTCAACGAGTATTGTGCATTGCAATAATAGAGGTCTTTCAACATGACTTTTTAGAAATGGTAAAAGCTTTTCTCTTGTATCAAGAAATAGATGTATGATTGTTAACATTCATATACAAGATTGTAATATGAAAACTATTATACATATAAAAATAATTTAATAGCGGTATCGATCTCTTTTTTTAATGATCAAGAGTTCAGTATTACATAACAGAAAAATAGAAGGAGAATTATTGCATAATCATTCTATAACGAATTAATGAGAAATAATATTAACATTATACTAATTATTAATTATATTGAATTGTTGGTAAATTGTTGATCAAATTCCATTTCTATATATAATTTATTTTATTTTTAGTTCAACAGTTGTTTCTTCTCATGTAAGTGACGTCATGCAAATAGAAACGATTGCAATTAAAAGCGGTGAGTCGCAAAAAAATATTTTCCTCACGGCTCAACTTTAACTGCATTGTTCGAGCACATATTTGTTCCATTAGCTTAGAATGCACGTAGTTTATAATAAAATTAACTGAAAATTTAAGAAGCTGATTGCCGAATAAATATCTAATTACTGCCGTTTCGATACAACAATTTCATTAAATTATACGCTAACTTTATAAATATGTACAAACGCAAAACAAGATGCAAATTGTTAACAAATAATTTACTATTTAATAATTTTGAAACAAATGACAAACGCGTTAAATGCATTTCATTAAAATGTCAAAATGAAATAACATAGCTGTGCTGAAAATGCAATAATATCATGCATATGCCATTTATTATATATTTCATATAATTTATACAATAATAAATAAAGCGACAAATGAATATTGGCTATATATTTAAAAAGTTCCCGATAAGATTCAATTAAAAAAAAAAAAAAACTTAGTAAATGAGCTGGTTCATATTAACGTATTCATAATCGTTTCATTCTATATTTGATTTATCTACAAAGATCGAGTATATACGATGATTTCAGAACTTCGCTCGCATCGAAGAGCGATGTTTAATGCTGAATATAAGATATAAATGCCGATCATTATACTCGTGATAAATCCCATTTTATCCCATTTCAAGTGCAAATTATTACGGGGAGACATATTGAGACAAAAGATTTGAAGGACTCGTGGCACGTTTCGTCTACTTTAGACAAATCTTTCATACACCACTTCTACATCTCCGAAGGCCCCTACGGTATTCGAGTGGCAATGACGTCATCGCTGTTTAAATCAACTCAATCCCAGAATGAATGCGGAAGGGCGAGGGATAAGACTACTAACACGCCGATGAACGAGTTCGGGCGAGTTGCAACAGCAACTCCGTCACAAAGCGCCGATTGTGAAGACTCCGTTACACGAAGTGCCGGTTGCAGGTACGTGCACATTAACCGCCCAATCCTGAATCGAGGAATGCGTCCTACCGTGGAGATCCTTCCCTCACGTCGGCAGGTTTGAACGCTCTTTGTCCGCGAGATCTGACCCGATCCAGAAGCCTACCATCTGCCGCCATCTGCCTCCGCAGAGATTTTCTCGAAAGACTCCAAAAGACGTTCAGAAAAAACATCTTCTGGCATATCGAGAAAAATGTTTCTCTGTACGAAACTATCTTCGACAACATAGTAACAACTTTACTATCATGCGCGTGTTTATGTGCGA